GAACCATGGAATCATAGAACGGGTTGGAAGGGACCTTAAAAGATCATCTAGTTCCACCCCCCCTGCCATGGGCAGAGACCCCTTCCACTAGATCAGGTTGCTCAAAGCCCCAGCCAGACTGGCCTTGAACAATTCCAGGGATGGGACAGCCACAACTACTCTGGGCAACCTATGTCTCACCACTCTCACAGTAAAGAACCTCATCCTACTATCTAATCTAAATCCACCCTCTTTCAGTTTGAAACCATTACCCCTTGTCCTATCACTACAATCTCTGGTAAAGAGTCACTCCCCATCTTTCCTGCTGGCCCCTTTGAAGTACTGGAGGGCCATTATAAGGTCTCCCTGGAGCCTTCTCCAGGCTGAACAACGCCAAGTCTCTCAGCCTATCCTCACAGGGGAGGTGCTTCAGCCCTCTGATCATCTTCATGGCCCTCCTCTGGACCTGTTCGAGTAGGTCCATGTCTTTCTTCTGTTGGGGGCCCCAGAGCCAAACACAGTACTCCAGGTGGGATCTCAACAGAGGAGAGCAGAGGGGGAGAATCACCTCCCTCGACCTGCTGGCCACATTTCTTTTGATGCAGCCCAGGATACGATTTGCTTTCTGGGCTGCAAGTGCAAATTGCTGGCTCATATTCCATTTTTCATCCACCAGCACCTCCAAGTCCTTCTCCACAGGGCTGCTCTTGATCCACTCATTGCCCAGCCTGTATTCCCAGCCTGTATCCGTGCTTGGGATTGCACTGACACCAGTGCAGGACCTTGCACTTGGCCTTATTGAACTTCATGAGGTTTGCACTGGCCCACCTCTCCATCCTGTCCAGGTCCCTCCGGACGGCATCCCTTCCCTCCAGCATCTTGACTGCACCACACAGCTTGGTGTTGTCAGCAAACTTGCTGAGGGTGCACTCAACCCCACTGTCCATGTCGCCAACAAAGATGTTAAATAGCACTGGTCTCAATACCGAACCTTGAAGAATATTACTCATCCCTGGTCTTCACTTGAACATCGAGCTGTTGACCGTGACTCTTTGAGTGCGACCATCCATCCAATTCCTTATCCAATGAGTGGTCCATCTGTCAAAGTCACGTCTCTCCAATTTAGAGACAAGGATGTCATATGGGACAGTGTTGAATGTTTTGCACAAGTCCAGGCAGATGACGTCAGTTGCTCTTCCCTTATCTACCAACAGTGTAACTCCATCTCAGAAGGCCACCAAATCTGTCATGCATGATTTGCCCTTAGTAAAGCCATGTTGGCTGTCACCAACCATCTCCTTATTTTCCATGTGCCCTAGCATAGTTTCCAGGAGGATCCGCTCCATGATCTTGTGGCGCAGAGGTGAGACTGACTGGCCTGTAGTCCCCTGGGTCTTCCTTTTTTTCCGTTTTTAAATATGGAGGTTATGTTTCCTCTTTTCCAGTCAGCAGGACCTTCATCAGACTGCCACAACTTCTCAAATATGATGGATAGTTGCTTATCTACTTCATCCTCCAGTTCCCTCAGGACCCATGGATGCATCACATCAGGTCCCTTAGATGGTCTCAAACCCGATCTTCTCCTACAGTGAGGGGTTCTTCATTCTCCCAGTCGCTGCCTTTGGCCTCTGACAACTTGGACTGTGTGGCTGGAGCACTTGCTGGTGAAGACTGAGGCAAAAAAGTTGTTGAGTACGTTAGCCTTCTCCATATCCTGGGTAACCAGGTCTCCCTTTCCTTCTGTAGAGGGCCCACATTTTCCCTAGTCTTCCTTTTATCTCCAACATACCTATAGAAGTTTTTCTTGTTGCCCTTGATGTCCTTAGCCAGATTTAAGTCTATCAGGGCTTTGGCTTTCCTAACTTGATCCCTGGCTGCTCAGACAATTTCTCTGTAATCCTCCCAGGCTACCTGTCCTTGCTTCCACTCTCTGTAGGCTTCCTTTCTTTCATTTGAGTTTGTCCAAGAGATGGTTGTTTATGCACGCAGGCCTCCTGGCATTTTTCCCTGACTTCCTCTTCGTCGAGATGCATCGCTCCTGAGCTTGGAGGTGGTGATCCTTGAATATTGAATATCCAGCGATCTTAGGCCTCTCTTCCCTCCAGGGCTGTATCTCATGGTACTCTACCAAGCAGCTTCCTGAAGAAGTCATTTGAGTTTGTCCAAGAGATGGTTGTTTATGCACGCAGGCCTCCTGGCATTTTTCCCTGACTTCCTCTTCGTCGAGATGCATCGCTCCTGAGCTTGGAGGTGGTGATCCTTGAATATTGAATATCCAGCGATCTTAGGCCTCTCTTCCCTCCAGGGCTGTATCTCATGGTACTCTACCAAGCAGCTTCCTGAAGAAGCCGAAGTCTGCTCTCCTGAAGTGCAGGGAAGTGAGCGTGCTGTGCGCCCTCCTCCATTGAGGAGGATATTGAACTGCACCATTTCATGGTCACTACAGCCAAGGCTGTCCTTGAGCTTCACATTCCCCACCAGACCCTCCTTGTTGGTGAGAACAAGGTCCAGCATAGCATCTCCTTGTTGGCTCCTCTATCACTTGGAAAGGGAGTTATCATCAACACATTATCAAGAAGCAGTATGGATTCAGATGATGCTTTTTCTATCTGAAGCTCATTCTCATATATGTTTTTAACACAGAGACATGCATGAGGAAGCAATATAAGCAGTCCTGGGGAGGAGGCTTTTCCCTGAACAAACACACTCAATGAGAGGTGAATGCATCTGAAACTCTTGTACATTCACGCAGCCCTCAGGAGCAGGAGCATTTGTTCTGTTTTGCCTAATTTTCAGGGTATCGTTCATTTAAAATGTAGCTGTCTGAAAGCATATACATATGAAAAATTCACAGAATTTCTTATTTACCTTTTTGAAATTAATGATTATTGCTTCAGAGTTCACAGAAACTTGTAATAGTCATCTGTCTTTCATATTTCTTATGTGAATGCATTTCTTTCTCCTATTCTCTCCTATAGTCATTAATGTCACATCACATCTCACCTCACCTCATCTCATCTTTGAAACCTATGACAGTCATGGAGAACAATTTTTCAAAAAGGTCTTAGAAAATATAACAAGAAGTAAAGGGTTGAAATTTGATACGCAAAAGTGTAGGCTGAATATCAGGAAATAGTTATGATAGTATGGAACTTGGGATACAAAGTATTTAGCAACTAGCAAACATTCCAAAGCAATTAAAACTCTAGTAGAAAAAGTAAAGAAGAATTATACAAAGAAGAACTGTTAGTAAGGCTCTCTCTTGACACAAAACATCCATCTGTCTATCATAAAAAAAAAATCTCTTTGAAATGTTGGAACACCTCTGCTGCCAGGGTAGTGCCTTGTTGCAGGAGAGAATAATTTTTTCATTGTACTGTTACTCTGAATTACCCCTGAAGAGCAGAAATTCTCTGCAGGATAGATGGAAAAGAATGCAAAACCAGAACTGTTTTCATTTCCATATTTAATTTCTGTTTTCATTTCTCCATATTCTGTAACTTGCTTGTCATATTTCTTCTCCCTATAAAGTTGTGTTTTTCCCTTAAGATGCTGCTAGCCTGAACTGTAATTTGACAAAAACTGGAATAGTGCAGTAAATGTCATTAGTTGATTTATGTTAGACAATGATCTGGCCGCTGTATTTAGTAATTGTCAATGCCACAATCTAGAAGTGTAAGCAAATAAGTTTAGGAGAGAAACTTACTACTACTGTTTATACTGACCTTTCAATTCTTTTTCAGTCAGATATCTGTGTAGTGTATATATGTATACATGTGTGTGTATACACGCACATTGTGTTTATATATGCATGTACGTATGTGTATATTACACTTCTACTTCCGTTTCTTTCCTGGTAACATTAAAATCTAATCCTACTGAAACTAGCATCATAGATCTTTCCATCTCACTGAGTTTTCAACATTCTTCTCTAAAACTGCTTCTGGGCTATTGTCTAATTTCAGACTGAGAAAGCATGAAAGCTTCCAGAAGGTCACTTATGCACGTACTTTGACATTTCTCAGATAAAATCTGCTACAGAGTGTGGTCTAATCTTACTCTTGATTATTTCACTGTAACTACAGTGACATTTCATTGAAGCAAAGGCATTTTAAGTGAACTACTCTTATGAGGAAAAAATTAATCAGTGCAAATAGAGCCATTATGAGGATGATGAATTACTTTACATCCTACTCACACTTTGAAATAAGACTGAGGTGGGACGTAGGCCTTGCACTACTTCTCTGTGCATGATGAACTCCTCTTACATGAATGTGAAGCAGGTACATCCACTCAGGTTCTGTTTTGCTCTGTTAATAGAGACCATAAGCAGGAGGTAAGATAATAAACAGGAGTTATGACTAATATGAACTGTTCCTTTCCTTCTTGTTTGTCTGTTTATGCAGAAAATGAAACATGTCCAGTGCAATTTTGGCCCTTTGACCTCCACATTGTGTAACCTTCACTGAGATTGACTCATGGGAAGACGACCATTCTCTCTTGGAACTTGTCATCAACATGAGGAAGACAGAGTGTATTATACAGTCTCTAACTCCTTTCACCGAGAAAGTTTTACATACTTTCTAAATATCCCAGAATATTAGATTTGTCCACATGTTCAAAGTTAGGAGTGCAGTTGTTACAGTGGAACATCAAGATTGGCATAATCTCAGAGGAATTTGGGCTGAATGTCCAAGCTGGGCCTGTCCCAGTGCCCCCTTATCCTCTCTTTCTCTGTTGTCATTACGGCATTATTTATCTTAGTGTGTACACTAGGTCTTTGTCTTTAAATAAGTGCAGTGACAGTAAAGGAGTGAATAGGTCTGTGAGAAAAACTGTTGGTTTTTCTATTAGTCTTTCTCTGCCTCTGGCATTTCAATTATTTGTGTTTGACGGGAACAATGAGGTACAGCCAAGACTGGAAGGTTCTGCTTCATGTTGGCTTGTGATAACTTTGGCTATGATAGTCTTCCCAGTCTGGGACAATGTAAATTTAGACTGGTTTCTTTTCTGAGGCCCAGATGATCCTTGATCTTACTCCTGATACTGAGCTGGTGATTCTGAAGTGGAATAAATATGGACGTAGCTGTTTCTCTATCCTGGCTGTGTTCTATGTGCTCTACGCTATCTGCTTCATGATGTGCTGCATTTACCGAGCTCTGAAACTTCAAGATAACACCAAAATAGATCAAAGAGACAATACTATATATGTGCAGAATCTTATTTTTCACGTCCACATCATATCCCAAAGTGACTAAGTCTACAGAGGGAGTCCTTAGTGTCAGCCACCAGGGTAGGGAATTACTGCAAAAGATTGCCATCCTACACATGTAATGGAGTGACTGAAAAGCTTCATCCTAGATTTCCCAGGTCAAAAAACAAGGCAGCATAGGCTTCAGTATGTCCTAGAAGCGTATTTGAGTTCCTGAATAAGCTTTTATGGCCTGCACTGAAACTCAGCATGACACTGCAATAGATTGCCCATTATTTAGGAAGCGACAGTTACAGGCATGCCTGTGCCTGTCTATGCAATATTTCTGATATTCATAGGGTGTCACTACAAAGAAAGAAGTAGCACTTCCTCCTGAGAAGCACACTTCAAATCCTACAACACTGTCCAAAACCTTAAGGCATCCTAAAGCTGTCTGCTTCCAGTTCTGGGGACATTTAGGCTACATGATGCAGTGAAGATAAGGGACAGGTCACCACTAGGTGGACTAGCTAAACAAGTGGCTATTATGTGATTCTGTATTGGTCTGCCTTTTTTATTCAAAACTTCTTCCCTCATTCTCATCTTGCTCTTGTGTGTGAAAGGTATGCAAAGGTGTTAATGGAGAGCTCTGATTATCAATACCTCTCAGAAGCTGATGATTTATTTCCATTTCATGGATGAGGAAACAAAGTCATGGAAGAGAAACAGTTAGCACTTTGAAAATGCTTGTGATTTTTAGTGCCCAAGATCAACAATGATCAATATGAATCAATGACAATATGAAATATCCATGGCCATATTCTGTGGAATAGGTGTCCACAATTTCAGGTGAACACATTGGTAATTCAAATGCCCAGAACCTCTGGAAATCATTCTCTACAAGATCGTCCACAATTGTGAACCTGACTGTGAGATGATTAGGTAGCCATTTTTTGTTAGCAGTTGAGACCTAAACCAGTTTTTCCTATACTGTCATGCACAGTTCTCTAGGCTGTAGAGATTCATAATAACACTGAGAATTATGACAGAAGCTATATCACAAGAAGGATTAGTTTATGTTTGTCATCATCGGGACTGTTTAAATGGAGCCCTATAGTCATATCTTTGTCAGTTTCTAATGTAGTGAGATCTCTTTCAGGAATCTTATGTGAATCTGTCTGGTGGGAGAACTGGTCACAGTGACAGGAGGCTACAATAGTATTGATCTTGGAGGTAAGTTAGAACAGTTTACACTTATATTTCCTTAGTCTGCAATTTGACTGAATAGAAATGTAAACAGTGTATACCTCTTAGATTCCAAGTATCTTCAGAGTTGGAGCAGCCAAATACTTGGGACAAATCATCTTGGGAGGGCCCTTCCACGTCATCAAGTAAGGTCCCACTCTTCCAGATTTCAGAGAGATTTTATTTCTGGGATGTATGTAACAACATTTCCATTTTATAGATGGAGAGAGGATGGTGTCAAGGAACATTAACAAAATGGAAGGTACCTGATGGGGCAGGGATGTAGGAGAAGGTGTGATTCTAACTCTATATGTTTGCCTCTTCCTTTGCAGCATCACATATGCTTGCATGATTCTAGCAACCATGGTGATGCATTTCACCAGCACAACTGGAGAGGTCATGCCTATGTCCTTTGCCCTGATGCTAGGATGGTGCAATGCTATGTATGTTGCACAAGGCTTCCAGATGTTTGGATCCTTAGCATCATGATCCAGAAGGTAAATTAAAGAAGTCCTTTGACTGTGAGAGAAAAACTAATAAATGTGCCAGGGAGAGCTACACAGCCTAGCAGTTTTGAAATTATTCCATACCTAAGTATGGGCTAGGATTGTAGCTCAGGCCTTTTGGCAGAGTGGGCACAAATTCAAAGATTGCTACCTGCAAACTATTTAAGGAATATTTTTCCTTTAATTAGGAAGTCATTCTAAGGAAAAAACCTGGATGATAGGAAGTGTTTATATTGCTCCCTGGGTAATGTGAAAGAAATCACATCCAATCCACTAACAATGTCAAGAATGGATGAGTGTATTCAGTTTATAGGATGTCACATAAACAAGGCACAGGAGACTAGCAGGAAGCATTCCTGTTGGAATTCACAGTCTGTACAGATACAGGGCCAGTAAAGACTAGAATCAGGACCTTGGATTTTAGGAGAGAAAGCTTTCAGTTGTTTAATGTATGTGACCCCCTGGGAAACTGCCCTCAGGGTTAAAGGACCTGAACAGAGCTGTCAGCTCTTTAAGGAAATTTTTCTTAGAGTGCAAGAGCTCTGGATTCCCATGTGTAAGAAATCAGGCGAGAAGAGCAGGAGACCAGCATAGCTCAGTAAAAACTTCCTGGTCAAACTAAAGCGTAAGAAGGAAATGCACAGGCAGTTGAACCAGGGACATGCATTCTGGGAAGAATACAGGGACGCTACCTGAATGCGGAGGGATAGGACCAGGAAAGATAAGGCACAGCTGGAGCTGAATTTGGCAAAGGATGAAAAGAATAATAAAGGCTTCTACAGTTACATTGGCCCAGAAAAGGAAGGTTAAAGAAAATATACCCGCCCACCGTCCTGATAAATGAAACTGGACAACTGGTGAAAACCTACATGGAGAAGGCTGAGGTACTAAACAATATTTTTGCTTCAGTTTTCAATGGTAGTCTTTCTGCCCACATCTCTCAAGCCCCTGAACCTCAAGGCAGAGATTAGGGGAATGAAGTCCTACCCATTGTAAATGAAGATCAGGGTAAAGACCGCCTAAGGAACCTGAACATACATAAGTGCATGGGACCTGATGAGATGCACCCCAGGGTTCTGAGGGAATTGGCTGATGTATGTGCCAAGCCACTTTCCATGATATTTGAAAAGTTATGGCAGTCAGGTAAGTCCCCAGTGACTGGAAAAAGGGAAATATCACCCTGTGGTGGTTTGGTGTCTGGCATGGTTTTGGTAGTGGGAGAGGAGGCTACGGAGGTAGCTCCCGTAGGAGGCTTCGAGAAGCTCCCCTGGCTCCAATTTTGGACCCACTTCTGGGCAAGACCAGACCAATGGTGTCTCTGCAAATAACTATCTAAGAGTGAAAGAAGCCGCTGATTGCGTCTCTTTGTTCTGTTTGTCTTGGTGAGCGAAGGGGGATGGGAGAGACACAACCATGCAGACAGCCAGGTCAGTGAGGAAGGAGAGGGGGAGCTGTGCTGGTTCAAAGATTCCCCTGCAGCCCATGGTGGCGTTCCGTGGCATTCAAACATAGAGATCAGTGGTGGCCCAGAGGTTGGCCTGCAGCCCGCGGAGGACCACAGGCCAGAGGAGCAGGGGACCAGGCCCAAAGCAGACCGTGACTCTGACTGTGCTGCAGCAGCCTGTTGATGGGAGGGCTGCAGCCTGTGGGAGAAACCCGCGCTGGGGCAGTGTGTGGAGAGCTACAGCCCTATGGGAAGGGACTCACGTTGGAGCAGTTGGAGGAGAACTGTCTCCTGTGAGAGGGACCCCACACTGGAGCAGGGGAGGACTGTGAGGACCTCTCTCTCTGAGGACGAAGAAGCAGTGGAGACATTTTGTGCTGGACTGACTGTAACACCCATTCCCTGCCCCCCTACCCCGCCGCAGGGGAAGAGGTAGCAGAGCTGAACCTGGGAAGACCGGAGGGGTGGGGGAGAAGGTGTGTTGTATTTAAGATATGGTTGTATTTCCCATTTTCCTTGATGGTGGTGGTTGTTTTGTATTAAATGTATGTTGTTATCCCCAAGTTGAGTCTGTCTTTTGCTCGTGACCATAACTGGTGAGTTGGAATTGGGTAAGGAACTGGCTGGATGACCATGCCCAAAGAGTTACAGTCAATGGCTCAACGTCCAAGTGGAAACCAGTAACAAGTGGTGTCCTCAAGGGTCTGTACTGGGACCAATACCATTTAATACCTTCTTCAGTGTGTCATTGATAGTGGTATTGAATGCATCCTCATCGAGTTTGCAGATGACACCAAGCTGAGTGGTGCAGCTGATATGCTTGAGGGAAGGGGTGCCATCTAAAGGGACCTGGACAGGCTTGCAGAGTAGGCCCATGTGAATCACAGAATCATAGAATCATTAGGTTGGAAGACACCTCTAAGATCATCAAGTCCAACTGTCAACCTAA